CTTTTATTGTAATTGAATTAAAAATCTCCTCTTTTCATTTCGAAATCCATCTTGAAGTTTAAATAAGGAGCATTATCCAGTCGTAGTTTCAAGAGGTTCCGTTGAGAGGTTTTCATACCTCTTAAGTGGCCGTTTCCTCTTTTTTACTGTCGTAATTTATATAGTCGACCACTTCGATATTGTCCTAGAAAAATTTGAAGGGTTGATTTATGAATAATTTAATAGTGAATGGGATAAATTTATAATATTTTTAGAAGTTTCTTCATTACTTTTATTTTATTTTATATCTAAATTTTTAAATAAATAGAAGTTTCGAGGTTCCCTGAGTCTAAATAACCAAGACACACAAAGTGGTCTGAATGTATTTGAACAGACTAGCTTAAAAACAAGAAGACGTACGAAACTTCAATTGCGTTTTTAAGATTTGTATATGGCTGTTTTTATTTTTTATTTTTTTGTTTTTTTAGAGGAAACTGAATGGGAAGTATCACTTTATTTTTACAATTTTCTCTATAACTTCTCTAGAATTTCATTAAACTCGGTAAATATAAAATTGAATAGCTTTTAATATATGATAGGTCTTATTCTTATTGTTATTCTCTAAAAGGGGTTAACTGCCTAATTTTCAAAATTACTTCCTATAAAGAACCTTTGATTTTTTTTTTATTATATGATAAAATTAACCATTTTACTATGTAATAAAAAATGGTTAAATATAAAATATGAAAGAACCTGATAATGAAATAAATGAGAAGTAAGGCATAGTAACGGAAAACCAAAGAAGCCCGATTGCTCACCTAAACTTGGCCGAAAGATTTGAATAGACTGCTATAGGTAATTTATAGCTAATAAACTACTGACTCCAATAATATTATATACATATTCATATGCAGTTTTCATAATTGATAGCGTTGGTATTATTTAATATATAACAATAATATACCAATGATTACGACAAATAAAAATACCTACAATAAAATATAAATAAATACGATCTTGAATCACCCCTTCTAAATAAATAATCAAAATATATTGACGTATAAATAATTGTTCAGTGAAAAAAAAACAGCATAAATATAATATATTAGAGAACTAGAGAACTGTGAAAAACATATGATAATTAATTGTTTTCAATTATAATTTGCACTGTCCATAATTTTTACTTTAACTTCCCCTTGCCTCAAAATACCTATTTCTGCCCAAATATAGGTAGTAAGAGAAAGTTGTGTGATGTGCGCACCGCATCAGATTTCTTCCAGAGGTATCATGTTTACCAGTTTATTCATACCATATGGTGGCATACAAGTAGGCTAATAAATTAAAATCAAATCTTAACTTTTTTGAAAAAGCTCTATACTATTTAAATATTCTTATAAGTTCAGCACTGTGTTATTTACTGTTTTTTAAAAATATATTTCTATCTTAATTAAGGAATTTCCAAATACATCTGGAGATTTAAGAGTAGTGATATGGATTACTACTATTTTACTCGGTTGTCAACATAAAATTACATGTAGCACGTTTATGAATATTATAAAATAAGGCATATCTGGTGCGTATATTCTGCTGACTTCCTCAGTCAATATACATTATTTCATACTTTGTGTCCACAGCATTTATTACTTTCACTTACCTATATATGTAATATATAGTAAGGGAATGTATTTTTTTAATCTAATAAGTGAACTCCATATACTTATTACCAATTATATTAATTTATTTGTCCATATTTCTCGACACATAGCATATTATATATTACTGAAACAAAAAATGTTGACCATTAAATCGAGAAAATGGCTGATACGATCCCCGTAATTTTAAAAAGTTATGCTGGTGCTTTTTGAGTAGTATTTCTTCTATGAAATGTTCATCTACATAAGAGTTGCGGTTTTATTATAGGCTAGGGAACGATCAATTCTTACTTCGCTCAATCCTTGGGGAGATCTTTGCCTTTTTGTTTTCATCTTGTAACCACATATCGTTCTTTTCACTGGCATACTGCATTCAGCTGTTAATCCACTTACAGATTTCTCTATCTGTAGCAACAAACCTTGCTAAATCATCTTTACTACTAAAATTATTTCCTGAAATCCGGGAAAGCCAAGAATTTTAAGCACTTAAACATTCTCTTACCAGAAGTAGAATCGGATATGAACCGGCCCCGATGATTTAACTTTTATTTCGTATTTTACCCACAGAAGAAATCTCGACCTTATCACTTTGGGTGGAAAAGATTGGTAACTTGTTGGATAACCCGTCTTTCATGCCTTATTTGAATAACATTTAGTCGCTAAACTTATTAAATAACAGATTACCATAACCGCATTTTAATATTTATTTAGAACAAATTTTGATTATTATATGAAAACCTCGTAGTGTTGGTATAAAAGTTAATGTAATTTAACTAAAATAAAGTTAATGTAAACTTTCCGTATACAATTATATGCCACAGAAAACATTGTCTTATAAAATACGTTGGAAATATTGTAATTTATTCGTCATGCTGACCTAAAAATAAGTAAAAGTAGCAAATCATTGATTACCTTGAGATCATTGATCCGTCAATATTTTCTATTTCTTCTGTGCAGTATTCCCATTTTCCTAAAGTGCCTTCGTTCACTTTACTTTGGTCTATGGATATCAATGATGTAAAATATATAAAATTAAAATGAAATTTTAAGAAAGATTTTTTTTCTTAAAACATGCTTGACGTCCATAAACCAAAGTAGAATTTCGTTCTTAACCCACGATTGACGCCCAGAGACCAAAATAGAATTTCCTTCTCAAACCAAGGTTGACATTCATAGACTAAAATAGAATTTTCTTCTTAAACCAAAATTGACATCCATAGACAAAAGTATAATTTCCTTCTTAAATCATTATTGACATCCTTAGACCGAAGTAGAATTTTATTCAAAATGGTCAATTGATGTCAATCATGGTTTAAGAACGAAATTCTATTTTCTCAAGCATTACCTTGACAACATCGCAGTGGCCATCCAAGTTGTGAGTATTTGTATAACTGTATAGTAGATTGCAAATTTTCCTTCAAATTGTGACACTTTTGCTTGGCATACGCCAGTTTTTCCTTGTGAAACATTAGCTATAATAAGATGTATAAACAATATGTATATTTTGTAATGTACAATGTATATCTTTTTATTAATATATTTTCTTCCACAATTTTCAGTTGAAAACATAAGATTTTATATTTCGAAATTCGGTATAACTATTTTCAAATGATAAACATAGAAAAATAAAATATTGAGATTTTAGTATCTAAACAGTAAGAAGAATCTACCAAGTCCTCTCAGAATTGATGACATCCCTTTAAATCCATTTCGCAAAAAAAGTATTTTGTTATATATTCTATTATTTTATGGGAGTGATGTTTTATTTTCAGGGAACCTAATTAAATGATTTTTTTTTTCAGAACAACCGTTTTTACGTAAAACATAAATAAACGAGGTTATTAAAAACTGCTAGCCTTGTTAACCCTGTTCGTGACAATGCCGTACTTGAACTTGGTCCGTTATTGATTTAAGTTCGGCCTCTTTTATCCATGAACCAACATCTCATGAAATCCAACTAACGAAATAGATTATCTTTAATCCGCCGACAAATTAGCTGTCAGCAGACTTACTTTAGTAGTAACAGATGGCATTTTCAAAAAATGTTGACAGATGAGCTTCGTTCATCTTTTGATTATAGTCAGCGTATGCACTAGCGGATCCAGGATTTAATTTTGGGGGGGGAGGTGGACTTCAGCCCGATAGCTTTTTTTTTTCATAAAAATGACGGTAATTACTAACAATGATGTAGAGGATCTGCAATTTTCTCATATTTTTTAAATCATAAATAACCGAAACTCGCGGAAATCAAACTTCGGAATATAGATGGATCACTGTTTGAATTAATTTAAAGATATTTAAATGAATTTCAGTAGTAACTATGAATGGAATTGTCAGTATGATATTTTATTTTGTGAGCAGCTTAATTTATGTGACGAGGGTTTACAGCAACTGATCAAACAATCGTAGATTATTTGAGAGTTGTTTGTTGCAGAGATGTTATATTTCAGAATGAATCGTTACTGGTCTAGTGCAATGTTCTATTTATATTTCGTCTAATAACTTTGTTCCTAATTTCATTACGATAATCATTTCCGCATGATGATTAGCAGTCCTTTTAATTTTGTATACTTAAATGCCATTTCTCATCATCATCATCATAATCATGTTCCTCTTTACGACTTATGCAGTGTGAGGTTGCTTCTTGAAGAGCTTGGACCAGGTGAACCTTTCCAGTACCTGATCTCGTCTCCTGTTCCATTCTAAACCTCGCTTCTGGAATGCATCTCGCACCCCTTCTTCCCAGGAAATTCTGGATCTTCCTCTCGGGGTCCTACCCTGCACGCGAGTCTCTTACGTCTTCCTTGCGAGTCTGTTCCGATTCATACGGAGAAGGTGCCCAAACCATCTCAACTTATGTTCTTCTATTATGGCATCGACCGCTTTGGCGTCGAGGTTGGCCCGGATTGTAATGTTGCGAATTCTGTCTGGTCTAGTCTTTTCCTCCACCTTTCACAGGTATCGCATCTCTAGAGCCTGTATCTGGCTCTTGTGTTTCGAAGTAAGTGCCCAGGACTCGGAAGAATACGTCAGTATAGGAAGGAATACTGATCTGTAGACCGTTTCCTTGGTCACCTCTTTACGGTTCAGAAAGCCTTTCCTAACCGAGCTGAACATTCTTCCAGCAGCTGCTATTCTCTGCCTTACCTCCTCGTCAATATATCCATTTTCGTTGAGTTTATCACCCAAGTATTTGAAACTTTCCACCTGCTTCAAAAGGGAGACGCCGCGCAGTGATGAAAGGCGGAAAAAAAACTATTTTTATAAGATATTGGAAAAATATGTTTCTTTTCCTCAATGATAATTAGATTAGTTACTTAAGAAATTTCACCAATTTAATCGGTAAAATATTGACTATTGTTATTTCAGGTACCCCACCAGGGCAGAGAGTACAATTTATTCTTGGGGAAACTGGAGAAGATCCAGAAAGATGTTCTCATCCATTGTTTTCAGAGATGGAAGAATTGGTATTAGGAGAAGGAGATGTACCTGAATGGAAAGAAACAGCAAGGTAAGGAATGATGGAATTAAATACTCTAAAATGTTGTTCTTAGATTAATATAACACTTTCTTTATCCTTAATATGCAGGGGCAAAACTAAAATTAGTTTTGCCTTAGTGAACAAGACTAATTTTACGACCTCTTCTTTCATCTTTTCTTTGTCCCAATAAAATTAAAGTCTTATAACAGTATTCTAGGTGATTTATGTCAAAACTGAATATCATTATCTCATAAAATCAAATAATTTTATTGATTGAAAATAACAAATAAGCAGAAACCCATATATATTTCATTTCAGTAAAGTTCTTATGTAAAGAATTCATTCATTCCAGCCCTGCTTTTATGTAAAGAATTCTTTTTAATGTTTTAAGTTTCAGTTTAGTCTTTGTTATTCTTCCCACTCCCTTTGTGCTGTTAGGTAATCTTAATGCTGTTAGGTTATAGATATGTAGACTTTTTTTTTAATAAATAAGAGCTTTAAAATATTGTAATATTTTTGTACATCATAAGGAATCTATCCAATTAAGTAGTGCTAATGTAACAAAGAAAAAATCCTACTTAGTTAGCACATTTTTCATTCTTATAAATCAGAAGTTTAATTTATACAATATTTTTAGCCATTTATTTATTTAGATTTTAATAGTAACAAATTATAAATGGATTAAAAAGGGTTCTGGTATTTTATAATTTTTGGTGTAATTATTTGTGATTTTTAAATATACTTTTTGGTTGCTTATATGACGATGACCTGAATTATTATCAATTGAATTTCAGATGGATAAAGTTTGAAGAGGATGTTGAAGAAGGTGGTGATCGATGGTCAAAACCTCATGTTGCTACTCTTTCTTTACATTCTCTCTTCGAGTTGCGCTCCCTACTCTTAAATGGAACAGTTCTTCTTGATATGGAGGCAAATTCATTAGAAGAAGTTGCAGACCTAGTTCTAGACACCTTTAGCTCTTTAGATACACAAGTGAAAGACAAGGTAACTTGAGGTGTTAACTGTTTATATATATATATATATATATATATATATATATATATATATATATATATATATATATATATATATATGCCATTATTTTTAATTATATTAATACTAATTTCTTAAGGTAAGAGAAGCCTTATTAAGACGTCATAGGCATCAGCATGAACGTCGCAAAGAGACAAATATGTCAAGACTGCCGATTATTAGATCATTAGCCGAAATAGGCAGAAATCATTCTTGTACAAGAAGTAAGTAAATTGGTTATTATTGTATAATTAATAGCTAAATTAAATATAGTTATACTTATTACACATTAACATATCTGACATGAAAATATAAAAATTTGAACTTACAATATATCGATGGACACACATCATAAGTTTGTTACTGACTTTTTTATTGGATTACATTTTTTCAATTGAAATGAAAACCTGTTTTCCAATGGCTCCAAAATTGGTGGAGATCCTCCTAATAATTTAAATATCGATTTCCACAAATTTTTAAGCCACTGATTCTAGCATCTAACCAAGTTTTCATTCAAATTATCAGCAACAAAAATTATACTAAATACGTCAGTTATAAGATTATAATTTCTTTCTGTCAATATTTCTTTTATTAATAAATTTTAACTGTTTATTTGTTCATTTGAAGCCTAATTAAAATTTAGCTACTTTTACATTTTAATAGTTTAAAATCATAGTGAAAATGTTACAAATTAGTAATACTTTTATAACCAAAGAAATTATTAAAATCAACTTCATGCTGCTTACTTTGTAGTATCGACAAAATAGGTGTCAGTCATATCTCACTTGAACAGCTCTTGAGTCTATGAGAAATAACATAGCGGATCAGAACTTTTTGTGCTCCACATACAGAACTATAAGGGGCTTGGTGGCCCATCAGCTACGAGTAAACATAAGATAAATAACTAAAACCAACAGGTTTGGAGCTTGGGGATGGACTTAAATCTGATGAAAATAAGCTATTAATTTTTTGAAAATTAATTCTGTGAAATATGTTCAGGAGAGTTAGCCAAATTTGAATTATACATTTAAAAAATGGACAAGTTGAAAGCTTGCTGGTATATATGCTTAAGGTAAGACTTTTGCCCTTCATCAGTTGTTTGAGGGTATTTTGATTGTGCCATATAGAATTTATAAAAGGAAGTTAGTTGACTGTTCCACAAATCATGGGTAATAAATAATCAGGACGCTCATTTTTAAGGTTTTTATTGGTGCCGACATTTCAACTGAAGCATGTGGATCATCATCAGGGCTGAAAATCGTTTAATATAGAGATATAATATTATAAGATGGATAATAGTTAATAATGAAAAAATAGTGATGGATGATACATAAAAACGATAAATGAAACATGTAATAAGTTATACAAACTAAAAAATAATGTATATAATCAATTTATAATATTTACTCTTACAAACCTTGTTTCGAGCACTGAAGGTGTTCAAATACGAGCACTTTGGTAAGCAAGTGAGAGGATTGTCGGAAGATTTTCTAGATATGCTTTTAAGAAAGCAAAGGTTGGTCAACAAAGTTAGAGAGGGATAACATGTGTACAATCGCTATGTTGTTCCTTATAGCTAAAAAAATTATGGCTATTACCTTATAATGAACTAAAAATAAATAAGAGATGACTGTCAATATAAACCTGAAACAGTTTGAATGAAAGTATACAATAGTTTGATAATTAATGTTTACAATACAGTTAATAAATTGAAATGATTAGTACAATATACAATATAAATAATTTTTATGGTTTCTTGTAGAATAGAAATATCAGTTTTATTGGTTGATTAGGAAAATCAACTTTATAGTGGGACAAAGTCCCTTAAGAATAAAAATATGGATCATAAAAAAAAAACTATTACTCAAAGGATTACATTGTGCTAATAATATAAGCATAAATATATCAGTGCTTTGTTTATAGTAATTTTTATATATTTTTGATTAAGAATAGACCCTTTTTACATACATACATACATATATATATATATATATATATATATATATATATATATATATATATATATATATATATATATATATATATATATATATATATAAGAAGAATAGTATGGAATAATAAGAGGTCATCTACGTTTTTTTAAATGAAAAAAATATCATTAGGAAATTGGGTTAATATCAAGTCTATGAGGATAGATCATGTTTTGAAAACATTGGTAGCCAGAGTTACAACATAGAGAAATGGACTTGGTCCATGGTTACAACATGGAGAAAGGAATGAAAATTGATTGAGGGAAGTGCATGGTTCTATGGTATACCAATTTCCTTCAATTATTTGGAGAGCAGGGTCTGTGGAAATATTAGTGAACAGACTTTCTACATTAAGGGAGGCTAGGATGAAATTCGGTGGTATGTTTAATGATTTTAGTTGTTATAATAGGTGGAAGGACTTTTTTATTTCACATGGGTTGTTTCTTTTGGTTTGGAGACTGGGTGGAAGGGCGGAGAAATTTGCTGAGTTTAGAGGATGGAGAGTTTATATTGGAAATGACAGGTCGCAGAGTATTGCCTGGCATATGGATTTTCGGTAAACCATAGCACCGGGGATCAGTAAAAGTATAAGAAATGAGATTTTTATAGCTAGAGATTTTAATTTGTTTAGTATTGAGAAGGTATTTTAGGTGTTGGTTAAATTTGGTTGTCAGAGAGGGTATAGGGAGATAGATGGTTTGGTCGGAAAAGGAGTGCAAATAATTTATCATTTTACTCAGCGCAGTCCATGACGACAGTTTTCTTAACCTTGTCAGCACAAATGATAATGATTTGGTTGAAAGATTTTAGAAAGGAACCAGTAGAGAAAAGATAATTAGGAATTGTGATGAAAAAGGAGATGGTATGGGATGTGGATGGTGGAGATGGTTCATGATAATGTTGCATGTTTGTATTCAGGAAAGTTATAAATTGAACACCTTCAGTGCTCGAACAATGGTTAATAAGAGTAAATATTAAATTTCTTATAAATTGATTATGTAGATTGTTTTTTAGTTTGTATGACTTCTTACATATTTCATTTGCACATTTTATCATCCATAAAAAAATGTTCATTATTAATCATTATCAGTCTTACAATATTGTATCTCTGATTGATTTAAACAATTTTCAGCCCTGATGGATGACCCACATGATTGGGTTGAAATGTCGGCACCAATAAAAACCTTAAAAATGACTTCGCCCTGACTATTTATCACCCATCATAAGGGTTTTTGTACCTTTGCTAAAGCCTGGCTGTCTGTTGTAAATTATATTCTCTTTAGACCTTTTTCTTTAAGTTTTTTCATTTACTTATTTCTACTATGTTAAAAACTTTAAGATTATTGAGAAGAATGCCATGAAAAGGCGTACTGTCACTTTGGGCTCACATACCCCAGCCCCTGTGTTGCTTTATTGCCAATGTTGTTTGGATTATACAAGAACATAAAATCTATAAAATAAAATTTTAATTTAATCAATAACTTTTCTTGACTTTAAAAACTGTCTGTAGTTCAATAATTACTATTTCAGATAATTTAAAAATTATGATTGAAAGTTTTTATTTTTTGAAATTTAATCCAAGACATTTAAATTATGTCACAGGTGGATGTTTTTCAACCATAAGGATTTTATTTCAATAATGAGTAATTTACAATAATTGTCACTGTTTTCCAAGATAGAGATTTGTATATTTTAAAAAGATGGGCTAGATCCAAATGTTGGTGAAACTATGAAATATATTTGTAATTATTTATTTTCCTTTTATTTCAATGAAAAATATCTGATTCTTTCATATTAAATGTATTTCTTTAGTTTTCTTATATTTTTTGGGGGATCGGTAAAATCCATCATATTGAAATTTAATTACATTTGGCTTCCAGTTACGATAAACTCCAAGCAGCTTGATTAGCTACTGACAGCTTAGCTTATGTTTTAGTCCAGGAGCCCGTGGCAATAAAGGTGTCTTATTTCATACTAAGGGTTGTCCTTCTAAATTTACCATAACCACGGGCTTGATGAGAAAAATGCACTTCTACCAGCATATAGCCACTGGAATACAAAATGGAGTCCAGATGAAGATAGATAGTGACCCTATGTAGGTAGATAACTTATATACTGAGAGAGAGCCTATAGATATAGAAAGCTACCAGGTATTTAACTTTATAGTATTTACTGTCTTAAGGCATGAAATAATAGTCAGTTACCCCATATCCATGGATTTCAAGTCCAAAGTTTGAATTTACGATCCAAAAAGTTCAATTTTTCGATTATATCAGTGAAACTATGAGTTCTAGGGATCATAATATTCTCTGTAAAATTAAAGCTGACAAAATTTGCAACAGAAATGGCTATATTCATTTCGTCGCTATCTTCTATAGTTTCCGATATATCCGTCCTGGTATATCACTAACTTTAAAAACAAATTGTTTCTCCTCATATTTTGATCTCTATTCGACTCGCTAATTCTTTATCTTTTCATTTTACAAAAAGTCATGAGAAAGAAAGTTGTTTAGTATTACATTTTCTTTAAGAATATATATTATTTTAATCTCTTATCTTCAACTATTCAAAAGCTAGAGCAATTATTATTTTATGCTTCGATACTATGCAGAAAAACTTACTTTTCATAATTATCGTTATTATACAGCTATTGATCATCATAAGCCAACACATATTTGTATATATTGGCTTGTATAATGTAGATAAATAGATTGCCTTATATGATGTAGGTGTATAATACCGAAAATAAGTTTTTCTTCATAGTATCAGAGTATAAACATAAAGTTATAATTGCTCTAACTTTTTTTTTGCTCTAGAATAGTTGATTTAATTTTCATTTTTATAATTTTATTTGCTCTAATTTTACACAAAATATCATTATCCCTAGATGATTATCCCTGACATAATTTTACTGATTAAGCGAAAACCACAAAAAGTGAACTTTTTGGATCGTAAACTCAACGTTTCGACTTGAAATCCACAAGTATGTGATAACTAACCATTATTTTATATCTTAAGTCAGTAAATAATATAAATTTAAGGGTTGGTAGCTTTTTATACCTATAGGCTCTCTCTCTATATATAAGTTTTCTATCTATATAGGGTCACTATCTATCTTAACCTGACCACCATTTTGTATTCCAGTGGCTATATGCTGGTAAACATGAATTTTACTTATTTGACCTATGGACAAACCTTAGTCTGAAATAAGACACCTTTTTTTCAATGTGCTC